AGAAGAAGAAGAAGAAGAAGAAGAAGAAGAAGAAGAAGAAGAAGAAGAAGAAGAAAAAGAAGGAGGAGAAGAAGAAGAGGAGGAGGAGGAGGAGAAGGAGGAGAAGAAGGCGGCGGCTCGTGCAAGTCAAGTGCCCCTACTCCAGTACTCCAGTCACACAGTAGACAAACAGTATGATGGCAAGTGTTAGTTGTCAACCTGACAGTCTCCAGTCACCTGGGAGATGGTCCCCTGGACATGTTGGTGGGGGACTGTCTTGATTATATTAATTGATGTAGGAAGACACAATCTCACCTGTGAGTGGCAGCATTTCCTAAGCTGTACTGATCATTTAGGATGTCGACAGTGGGATCCCAGATTGTATAAAATACAGAAGGCTGGGCCACTGAGATAGCTCCACAGGTAAAGGGACTTGCCATTGGGCTGGGTTCAATCCCTAGAATCCACATGGCAAGAACTGACTCCAGGAATTTTTTTTTGAGCTCCACTTACACCATGGCAGCCACACACCCACATAAACTCACAATAAGTAACTATAAAATGAAATGGAGGTGAGTAAGCCTGGATTCTGTTTTCCAGACTGTAGATGTGATGTGACTAACTGCTTCAAATTCCCACCCTTGACTTCTCTGCCACAGTGGACCATCCCCTGCAACTGTGAGGTGGGATAAACCTTTCCTACTTTAAATATCTTGAGCTCTTAGACCAGGGAGCTTAAGACACACTAACTGGTGTAGTCTTCAAAAAAAAGTTCCTTCTGGTGGATCTCCTGACACTCATGTGTGTGTGGATCTCCTATGTGTTATATGACTCACACATACATGCACGCACTGCATTGGGTTTACTGCTCGCCTTGATCATGGACAGGCAAAGTCCTGAAGGCTCTGATACTCTCACTGAAGAGCCTGGAAGGCAGGTGTCTCACCAAGGGGACATCATATTAAACATTATTCTTAGAATTTGAATTCAGGTGCTTCAAAGCCCCTCCAGCTGTTTATTCACACGCTGCTGGAAAATAAGCTCCACTATCAACATATTGAGTGACTAATTTTATTCAACAAACACTTATCATGTGGCTACTAAGTGCCAAGTGATGAGTCAGGCAACGGAGACCAAAGGGCAGAATACAGGAGCCTGTGGACTCGTGAGGAAGCAACAATCCTCCATTGACTAGTTCTGGGAACTGAGAAGGTTCTCAACTTCACTGGCCCTCAGGTAGGAGAAGGGTGGTACCGGAAATGCCCTCTTCTCCCTCACACACACTTATTCTCCCTCACACACACTTCTAGCCCTGTTCTCAGATCACATTCCAGCCTACTAAAAAAAAAATCCAAAGCCCACCCTTCAGCCAGGTGAATGCCAGCTGAAGACATGCTGGCTGGGGAAGCTGGAGCAGGGTGACCTTCCCCTGTCAGCCCTTTCTTTCTGTTCTGCAGATGTAAGGTCCGCAGTAGTTCTTTCTACTGAGTAGTTCTTTCTAGACTGATGAAGTCACTGAGGTGCCTAGATAGGGTAGGGGTGTGTGTGTTGGGAATGGGGGGACTGATCAAGTCACTGAGATGCCTAGATAGGGTAAGGGTGTGTTCATACACGCGTGCACGACATCTTTGAACAGAAAGATGCTGCTGTTTTCTTCTAGCTCTCACAAGTGTAAGGCTGAAATACACCTTAAGTTTGCTTATCTATAAAAATGAGACTAGCACTCCCTAGAGTGGCCAACGCGGTATTCGAAAAGGGATGCGTGCCGGATCTGGTACACAGAGTACCAGGCCCTTTGCTAGGCCCCTCCTAATCATCCATCCCACACAGCACAGCTAGGAAAGCTCCCACACAAGAGAGGGACTTGAGGAAACAGCAGTCAAAAATGCCATCCAGGTCTGTCTAGCTAACAACCTGCCCACCTTCCTTCAGGCTTTGTAGCAGTCTCCATGGCAACAAAGGAAGCAGCGCTGCCACGTACTTTCCTTATATGCTGGCTTTGCCTACAATACACATGCATGACGCTTCCTAGAGATGAAGGCATGTTCTCAGCAAAAGCAAAAATATTTTGGTACTATCGCTTTGTAAAGATCACTGCTCTGAATGACCCTCAAAAGGCAGAAAAGAGGCTGAAATCCTACTTCCTGTGGACAGATGGGAAAGATGCCTAAGAAAGGGAGACACTCTTGTCCCGCACCTACCCATAAGCTAAACTCCCAGCTCTAAGTGTTGGAGTCTTCCCAGGGTCCCGACTTCTTTTTCTTCCTTACTGTCCGACCTGCGGACCTTTCAGTCCCTGCCTTCCCCCTTCCTCCAACCCCCCATGGGGGAGCCCCTAGAAGGCGTGAAGAGCCAGGTAGAGCTCATAAACTTCCACAGCCATCAACTGGGCTCCACACCTTCACAGCCACAGCCGTCCTGGTAGAAAACAAGGGATCAGGTGCCTTAAAATGCCCGAGTGGCGCAGTCTGCGCCCAAGGCCTGCGCTAACTTCCCCGGGGCAGTGTGGGTGTCATGAACGCCGCATTTGTTCACGGGGTTTCTGACCTAACGCCCCCGTCCCGGTGGGTTGGACCGTAGCTCGGGGCCAGGAGCGCACACAGGCCGGGGAGAGCAAAGGACCGACCAGCGTCACTCAGCCCAGGGAACAACGCCAGCTCTCGCCCCCAGCCTCCGAGGGACCCCCCCCCGCTTCCGGCCCGCCACCCTCCCACCCGCGACGCCAGCCGGAAGTGGCATGTGCGGGGCTGTAAACACGGCTTGCAACACCCCACCCCACCCCTCCGCTCCCGACCCCGCCTCCACGCCACGTGACGCGCCCGCCCCCGCCGCCGCCTCATTGGCCGGCCAGCTTTGTTTACCTTATATGGCCAGGTCCTAACACCCCGCGGCGGCCCATTGGTGCTGCCGCGGCCTCACTCAGGTGACGTCACCCGGGGCCGAACGATGCAAATAAACCGAGGCATTCTGGGAATGGCAGTTCGTGGCCGCTCTCCTAGGTGCTCCGCGCGGTCCTGGCGCCCGCAAGATTCCGGAGGCTTCTCTTTTTTTCCTTTTTCTTTTTTTTTTTGCTTGGGACAGTGGGAACCGAAGGGAAAGGGACTCCAAAGCTGCAGAGAACGCTGGCCTGGCCAGAGTTCCACGGGGGCTGTCTTTTTTTGCAGACGCTCCTCCTGCGCGACAGGCCGAGAGCCAGGCAAGGCTGCCCTGCGAGCCCCGGAAGGCTTCTTGGAGGTGGTGACTTCAAGCAGCGCCTTGAAAGGCAGATGCTGTGGTTCACCCAGAGCCTTCTAAGTCTCGGGACTTTTCGGAGCGTTGCAGCCTAGGGCAGTGGAGTTGGGCCAGAGCTTTCGGAGAGTCCCCTAAGAGAGTGCCTACTAACACTGTGATGCTGATGCTAAGCACAGCAGGCTGCAGGACCCCTGGGAGCCCGTGACGTGACACGCTTGTGCTGTGGTCCCGGTCCCAGACTTGGCATCACGGCCTGGGGCAGGAGCTGCGCGCCCCACTGAGATCCGCCCGGGAAAGGGCGTCCCGTCTCCTCCCCGGTCCGTCCGGCGGGGGCGTCGCGGACTACACCTCCCAGCATGCTCCGCAGGCCGCCGGGCAGCGAGGCGCGGTGAGTCAGAGCGCACAGTAAATATTTGTATTAGCCGGGGCCGGCTCGCTAATGGTGGACGCGTGAGGCGAGGCGCGAGCGCGCAGGGAGGCCGGAGCGGGCTGCGCGGCGGCGCCATGTCCGTGAACATGGACGAGCTCAAACACCAGGTGATGATCAACCAGTTCGTGCTGACGGCCGGCTGTGCGGCCGACCAGGCGAAGCAGCTGCTGCAGGCGGCCCACTGGCAGTTCGAGGTGCGTAGGGGGACCGGGACCGGGCGCGGGCGGTGTGGACACGTGCCGGGGTGCGGACTGCGGGCTTCACCGACGGCCAGGCCCGAGCCCCGGAAACGGGGCTGCCCCGGGGACCCCGCGATCAGGACGAGGACCCCTCCCCTTTGTCCCGGTAACGGCTGAAAGCGAAACAGGCGACCGCCTGGAGGACGTCCAGGGCCGGGCCGGAGGTGGAGTCGCTCCGAGCAAGCGGCCCCGGGGTCGGTGTGCCCGGTGGGCGCCTCGCGGCGTGTGCGCACACGTACATGTGCATTTGTATTTACGCACGCACCGCGCTTGGGCGTCAGTAGGGCACATCGAAGGTTGTGGGCATGTGGGCGCGTGTGTGGACGCGCAGCCCGGCCCGAGAGCGTGCCTGATGTACGGAGACCGTGTGTCATGTTTGTGTGTGTGCATAGGTGGCGGTTTGCGGATGGTGGCCATGCTGGGTATGGTGCGGTGTGTGTACACATACGGCACGGAGCGTGTGGGTGGTGTTCAGGGTCCTCAAACTAGATTGTTAGGATGTGTGTATGTGTACCCCACCCACTCCAAAGGTGTCACTGGGGCGGGATCCTTAGGAAGGCCTGACTGTCCTCGGGCCTGACAGAGAACCCTGTACCTTGGGATGGTGTACTGCATACGGTTCACTAATTTTAGGGCATTCTAGACAGGGGGCGGAATGCCAGTCTGGCTCCCAGCTACTCCCAGGTTTTTCTTGGCCTGTAGAGTAGTAGTGTGCCCAGTCTTTTGTGTTACTGAGATGTCTCTTATCCTCTAACTCAAACCTCCTCCTCCTCCTCGCTGGCATCTAGAGATGAGGCCAGACGTCTTGAAGCTGTGTCCCTCACAGGTGTGAAGTCACAGCGAGAGCCAGTCTGTGTACTGTTGGAAACCGCAGAACCTGGTTTTCCAATGGGAGCCATCCCAGAGAAGCCTCTGGGAAGAGCCAGGAAACAGACTAAGGCTTAGCTTCCTGGTAAGGGGTAGGATCAAAATCGTGCCCTCCCTTCCACCTCTGTAAAGCAAGCCTTTGCTCTGCTAACCTCCTTCCTACCAGACTTCCAGGCCATTGTCCCTGTGCAGGAGACAGGAGGCTTCATCCTCTAGCCTCAGTTTCCACACCCCTGAGGGTAGCAGTGTTTGAGTCATCCGCCTCTAAGGCCTGAATGGTCTCCCTCCCGCCCCTCCCCCTGCAGCCCCACCCCGGGGAAGTGCCCTGCTCCTACCTCTGCCACAATCCTAATCTGCCCCGTCTCTGGGGCTGGATGTGGTAAAACTTGTAAAACCACATTCATGGCAGTTGCTGGAGCCCAGTGCCTGTGCTTTCGGGGTTCCCTCCTTGCCTGAGGCTGGGCAGGCAGGTGTCCCATGGGAAATGGGCTGTGTGGAGGACTCCTAGCCCATCGATCGGTGTGGAACAGTGTGTCCCTCAAGCTTGAAGGAATGGACTGAAAAATATGGCTATAAAGATTAGGGAGCACTGGCCCCATGGGGATGAGGGGCGTCCTGCAGCCTGGAAACAGAGTCTGACTGACATGGGGTTGGTTCTCCGTGCGCTTGCCTTTGCACGGTCACCCTGTCACCATTTATAAAATGAAGAGTAGGTGTAGACACCCCCCTCTTAACCTGAGGCATCTGCCTAGGAGTTCCTCATGGTTAGCCCTCCCCCTCCCTCCTGATTTTGAGCATACTCCAGGCAGCGTTTCTGGGTCACATTCTGAGACTCAGGTGCTAATGGGGGCAGAGGCTGTGGGGGAGGGGACCTGTGTGTAGCTGGGCAGATGTTTCTCAATGGAGAACTCACAATGGCCTTTAGAGGACAGTTGGAGTCCTGGGCAGGGGGAGGATAGCTGCCCCTGCCATGGGCTCTTGGGTATCTCGGGGTTCATCTCCACTCAGTGTTTGGGGACATTGCTGTAGGAGATCCCCAGGATAGTTCATTTGAATATACTTGAAGAAAAAAAAAAGAGCAAGTCCTGGGAGTCAGGCTGGGTTTCTGGGTGTGTTGGGGCGGCACAGGGCCTGCCTGGAGCCCTGCTGGCTTTGTGCTGGCGTACCCGGCTGAGGAGTAGTAATGCTGGGACTTGGCAGGCTCCTCGGGACCCCTCACCCACTGACAGCCTTCCTCACCCAGCACTGTCACAAGGGCAGCCAGTTTCCTCTTTTCCTGAAGGGGCCCAAGACAGGACATGGTCAGTACAGACGTCATCCTTTGGGTTTCCTGAAGCCACCTTGGAGCTCCCTCCCCGGGTCCATTTTGCTCTGCACTCTTTGGTCAGGCGTGAGAGTTTCCTAGAGCCTCAGTCCAGGGCTCTGCTCCTATTCCTGCCTCATACCAGACAGGAGTTTTAACAAAGTTGCTTCCGCTGGGCTGTGGTGGCACACACCTTTAATCCCAGAACTGGGGAGGCAGAGGCAGGCGGATCTCTGTGAGTTCAAGGCCAGCCTGGTCTACAGAGTTAGTTCCAGAACAGCTAGGGCTACACAGAGAAACCCTGTCTCAAAAACCAAGAAACAACAAAAAAAAGAGGAAAGTTACTTCATCCTCAGTTTTCCTGTCTGTAAAGTGGGTGATACCAGTTTGGCCTCTGGGATTGTCCCTATTCTTATTTGTTTGTTTGAGACAAGGCTTCTTTGTGAAATAGTCCTGGCTGTCCTGGAACTCACTTCGTAGCCTAAACTGGCCTTGAACTCAGAGATCTGCCTGCCTCTGCCTCCTGAGTGCTGGGATCAAAGGTGTGCGCCCCCAAATGTGCATAAAGTGTTCCTGTTTTGATAGAGCCCTGCTTGGAGAGGCTGTAGCGTGGAACAGCCGACAAGTGGCTTGGGGAGATGTCCCTTAAGCTGTCGCGGGAACTGTCTCCAGTTTTGTGGTGGGTTCAGTTTCTGGGTCGCTCTCTAGCTTTGAGTGTTAGAGACATCCCTCTAGAGAGGGAAGTTGTACTGAGAAGCAGGTCTCCACTCTGTAGACTAAGAATAATTCCTTAAGAGTCACCTGGCTCAGGCTGGAGAGATGGCTCAACGATTAAGAACACTGGCTGCCCTTACAGAGGACCCAGGTTTAATTCCCAGCAACCACATGACAGCTCACAATCATCTGTAACTCCAGTTCCAGGGGATCCAACATGCAGACAAAAGACCAACATACATAAAATAAAAATAAAATCATTTAAACTGGGCGGTGGTGACATACACTTTTAATCCCAGCACTCAGGAAGCAGAGGCAGGTGGATCTCTGTGAGTTTGAGGCCAGCCTGGTCTACAGAGTAAGTTCCAGGACAGGCTTCAAAGCTACACAGAGAAACCCTGTCTCAAACAAACCAAATAAATAAAATAATAATAAAATCATGTTTTGAAAAATGAAGAGTTCAGCCGGGCGGTGGTGGCGCATGCCTTTAATCCCAGCACTCGGGAGGCAGAGGCAGGCGGATCTCTGTGAGTTCGAGGCCAGCCTGGGCTACAGAGTGAGATCCAGGAAAGGCGCAAAGCTGCACAGAGAAACCCTGTCTCAAAACCAAAAAAAAAAAAAAAAAATGAAGAGTTCGTGGCTCACATATGAGGATACTGAGGCTCAGAGAAGTGTGAGGGTTTGCCACCCATTGATTGGGGTGACAGACCCAGGCCATAATAGAATTCAAACAATGCTGGGGTGAGGGGCAGGGGTTCAGTAAGCCACAGGCACCTGACTGGTGGCAAACAACGTTATAAGGATCTCCACCACCTGTCCAAACTGCTGTGAATTCCATGACACCTCCTCAGGTGGTGGTCACAAGCATACTGCTTGACCTTAGCTCACCCTGTCCCGCTGGGATGGTTGGAGGGTAAGTCCAGTCTTTCTCCCTGCAGACAGCCCTCAGCGCCTTTTTCCAGGAGACCAACATCCCCTACAGCCACCACCACCAGATGGTAAGTGTCCCCGGAGACCCAAAAGCGGCAACACTGGCGGCTCCTCGTCTGGGCAGGGGGAGGCCGAGCTTATTGGCTACACCTCAGGTGGAGGAGGCTGGTACATGGCCTGGGGAGGGGAGGGCTTTCATGAGGTAGGTCTGCAGGAGTGTGGGCAGCCTGGGCCCCTTAGGACCCAAAGAACACTGGCCCTTGGTGCTCAGCTCCCGCCAGGCTGTCTGCCAGGGCTGCCATGCTGACCACTGGCTGGGAAGCTTCACGCCCAAGGCAGGAGGCATTGTGCCAGGTGGTATGGTCTCTGAAGCCAGACCGACCCATCTTGATGCCTTTTGCTGTCATCTATTCGCTGGGTGGTGGGCCAACTGGGGCCACGGAGCCCACGTGACTCCCAATAACTCCTGGGTTTTAGAGGCAGCCAAGGCCCTACTAGAAGGGATGCTCAGTCCTCCGTCTGTCATTTCTTCCCCCACAGATGTGCACTCCCGCCAACACCCCTGCCACGCCCCCCAACTTCCCTGACGCCCTCACCATGTTCTCCCGTCTCAAGGCCTCTGAAAGCTTCCACGGTGGTGGCAGCAGCGGCAGCCCAATGGCCACGTCGGCCACATCACCCCCACCGCACTTCCCCCACGCCACTGGCAGCTTTGCGACACCCGGCTGGCCAACTGCAGCCTCGCCCCCCGGAGGCCCACAGCACCACCAGCCGCAGCCGCCCCTCTGGACTACGGCACCCCCTTCCCCGGCTTCAGACTGGCCTCCTCTGGCCCCCCAACAGGCCACCTCAGAACCAAGGGCCCACCCTGCCATGGAGGCAGAGAGATAAGGGAGGCCCCTCCCCCCTCCCGGAGGCCAGGGCCCCGTGGGGTGGGGGAGAGGATGTCTCTGTGGGCCCCTTCACCCTTCCTCTGTCTGCACCCACACACCCCAGAGCCCTGGAGGGGAGAGACTGGACTCTAGCCAGGCAGTCTTGTGCCAGCATGCACAGCTGCACGCACGCAAGTTCACAGCGCAGGCACCCCAGCTCGCATGGATTTGATTCAAAAGTGGCTTGGGTGCCTGGTGGGCAGCGCCTTGGAGACCAAGCAGCCATCCCAATGAAGACTCACCTGCCTGGCCCCACCACCTGGAGTGTTTCAGAGAATCACTTGGTGGAGGAGACGTGGCTGACTCCTGTCTTGGGGCCGATAGGCCTAGATCCCCACCCTTGGGAATGCAGAGCCTTCTCCGCATGTGTGCGTGTAGCTGTGTCTATGTATTTATACGTATGTCGCTCTTCAAAAGCAGCCTAGTTTATGGGGCAGCTGGACTTTGCATGTTAGAGTGAGCCCCAAGCCCCTTGGCCCGACATCCCCTCTTCCCAAGGGCCCTGCCTCACTCCACCTCCTTATCTGCCAGCATTGCTGTTTCCTGCAAAGGATTATGGGAAACTCCAGGACTCTTCTACCCATACCCCAGCGCCTGCCTGCTGGGATTCCCTGCATGCCTCTTCCCCAGAGCCCAGGGGTACCTGATCTTCATTTCCTATCCCCCTTTTAACAAAAGAGAACAGAATTCCAACCTACCACCAGGCTCTGCCTCATATATATCCTAGGTGTTGCTGGCTGGCGCTGGAAGGAGATGCTAAGCTGAACATAGGCCACCCCACTCCCCTAGCTCCACACCACTGTCTGCTGTCCTGTCTACGGGGTCTGGAATCATCGTGCCCACCAGAGGCTTTCCCTGTTAAATTTCTTAGCCTTTATTTCCAGAGTCTCACCTCTTACCCCTTTTCCTGATGAAATGAGTGGGTCTTACACCTGTCTGACTGGATTTCACATGGATTTCCTTGGACCCTTAGCCTAGCCACCAACTCTAGGGCATGGTGGGGCTCTCGTACCAACCTGGACGCCTGTCTGGAGGGAGAGAGTGAGGCAGGAGAGGAAGGAAGGTGTGTTGGCCCCTGAGTTCCACTCTACAGATCTTCTACTCAGGGATGGTAGGAAATTGTTCCTAAAGGATCTATTTTGGGGTCACCTGCCATGTGGGCTGTGTTATGATGCCCCTCATGGTCTAGTGTCAGATTTTAAGTGCTCAGCTGCCCCTGGGTGGTCTGTGGTGGGCCACTCTTGCCCTGCTTAAAATAGTGTTCATGGCAAAGTGGGCAGCGGCATCGCCCTGGAGCTTGTTGATACAGAGGGCCTCAGTGTCCGGCCCGCACCCCAAGTCAGATTCTACCAGGAGCCCCTGTTACTAAATAGACTGAGAGGTGGTTTCATTTTGTTTTTCAAGACAGGGTTTCTCTGTATAGCCCTGGATGTCCTGGAACTCAAGACCTCAACCCGCCTCTGCCTCCAAGGTGTGTGCAACCACCACCTGGCTAACACTGAAGTTTTAAGAAGTACCCCCATAAGAAATCTAATAGGAACTGAGGCTGACAGGGGCCTAGCTGTTTGTGGAGGCTGCTGAGAGTTGGGCCTGGGGATCTCAAGTGGTTACATCCATAAAGGCATCTAGCCTCAGCACTGTTAGTATCTGGGCAGACAGTGTCCCCACAGTGAGGGCTGTCCTATTATGCAGTGTGACGCCCAGCATTCTGGAAGCCTGCCCACTAGATCAAGCAGCACCCATCCCAATTGTGGTGATCAAAACCCTCTGTTGTAGACACTGCTGACGTCCTCTCTGGGGATGGTGGCTGCTAGTCACATGGTTCACATGCCTAGCTGCCTAGCTTAAAACAGACCCCAGCCTTCCCTGCCCATCTGTATCAGTGCTGGGTAGAGTAGCAGGTAGACAACAATGATCCCTCTGCCTACACTAAAAGCTATTCAGTTTACACTTGGAAAAGGTGAGCTTTCTGGTGTGCCAATTATATTTCAAAGCTGTTACTAAAAATAGACCGCTCCCTCTACCAGGTGGTTCTGATGAAGCAGCTAAGCACACAGCTACCAGACTCCTGATCTCCAAACTTGTGTGTGGTTTTGTTTTGAGGCAGGGTCTTGCTGTGTGGTTCAGGCTAGCCTTGGACTCCCTAAATTCTGAGATTACAGATAAAAGCCATTTTACCCATTTTAAGTGTTTGCCAAACATCCTTGGTTCCAGCCTTCCTAGTACTGCCCTGGATGAGAGTCCTAGGCTGATACTGAATTTGTATGCTGGAGCCCTTCTGCAGGTGGGACCCTTGCGACAGGGCTAGAGCTGGGACCTAGGACCTCACTTCTGGTGGAAGCACAAGCCCCTCCAGCTGTACTTCCAGGGCTGGTCTGGTCTGGTCTGAACAACTCAGAGTGAGCAGGACTAACTCGGGAGAGCTAGGTATGGGTGGTGATACCTTGTAACAGCACAAAGCCCCTGGACCCTCCAGTAGCTGAACCCGCACCAGGAAGCTTGAGAAGCAGAAGACCAACAATGATCTGTGTTCAGAGAAGGCCTAAGCCATCCTTGGTAGTGCTACCTCTCAAGCGCTTCCTAGGAGCAGCCTGAGCAACAGGAAAACCGGCCTGTGGGCTTGTGCTTGCCTGGCATACATGAGGCCCTGCTTGTGACCCCTGGCCCTGCATATAAACTCTGTGGCATGATAGCACACATCCGTAATCTCCCAGCTCTAGAATGTGTAAACAGGAGGACCAGAAATTCAAGGTCATCCTCTGAAAGCAAGCCTGGGATACAGACAACCTCCCAGTCTCAGAATAACAACAAAACCCACCCTGTTAGAGCTCATGTCCCGCTTGCCCAAATGACTCATTTTATTCCTCTCTTTAAAAATGCCATTTGCAGCCGGGCGGTGGTGGCGCACGCCTTTAATCCCAGCACTCGGGAGGCAGAGCCAGGTGGATCTCTGTGAGTTCGAGGCCAGCCTGGGCTACCAAGTGAGATCCAGGAAAGGCGCAAAGCTACACAAGAGAAACCCTGTCTCGGAAAACCAAAAAAAAAAAAAAAAAAAAAAAAAAATGCCATTTGCAGGCCGGGCTGTGGTGGTGCATGCCTTTAATCCTAGCACTCAGGTGGCAGAGGCAGGTAGGTGGATCTCTGATTCAAGGCCAGCCTGGTCTACAAAGCAAGTTCTGTAGACCCAGGACAGCCAGGGCTACACAGAGAAATCCTGTCTTGAAACACACACATGCACACACGCACGCACGCACACAACCATTTGCATCCACAAGCTTGCTTTAATGAGTGTGTTTCAAGCTCTGTGTGTGATTCCCAGGAGACATTTTGACATACAGGAGCAGGGAAACTAAGCTTTGACAGGTGGCTGTACCCTTCCTGTGAGACTGGAGGGCAGTTCTCGGGCTATAAACCTTGTGACGTACTCACTGTTGCCTGTTGTGTTAGCTGTGTCAACATTTTAAAGTCAAGAGGTTTGATATAAAAAGCCTCACTTCTGACTTACCTTGGAAGACTGGAATTTGTGACCCAGATTGCCTCAAGGCCACAAGTGGCGAGAACTAGCCATCACACTAGGGACACAGCCTGGCCCACTTCTGCTGGGTTGTTCCCCTCCACTTCACTGGCTCCGTAGGTAGCTGGGAATCCATTTCCACTGCTGTCTTGAAATCAGCCAGCCTCTGGCAGGGACCTTGCTTTTCACACAGCAAGTGCAGAAGAAAAAGCCTGCACAGATGGGCAGGGGGCACTGGCTGTGAACACAAGTCTACGCTGCTTTCTGTAGCTGCCAGGGCACCTTTGAACAGCCTTGAAGAGAGGACTTGTTCTTCTCTGAGAGTCTGAGATGTGAGGCCACACCCAGGACTGCTCAGCGTCCCCAGGGTCTGTCCAGTGGCCCAGCCAGAGTTCTCTGAGTTTACACCACGACCAACCCAGAGAACCACACTGTATCCGATGCTGGCTATAGTCCTGAAGGTCTCTAAGGGGCTTTTCACAGCAGTTCTTGCCCAGCAGAGGACAGATGAACCCTTTGACTGGGGTCTCCTGGTGTGGGGAGGCCTCCTGGGCTGACTAAAACAAAGATGATTTGCTGAATGCCATTTCCAGCTCCTATGTTTGGAAAGGTCTCGGTTTGTGGCTACTGCATATATTTAGGCACTATGTGTATCTCAAAGGAGCCTTGAAATCAGCTCTTTTTCTTTTGAGGGGTGGAGGGGGCCTGAGTCCTCTTGAGATGGGCATGGGTGGGGCTGGCTCAGGACAGCAAAGCCATGTCTGACACCAGGCAAGGTGCCTGAGGGCCATTGACAAAAGTCCTGCTCTGCTCACCAGGCCAGTTGTCCCTGCTGTGGAGTCAGTCATTCGGTGATACACCGCTGGGCAAGGTTGATGAGAAGAGGGTCCCTCTAGTACTGTGAACTTCAAGATCACCGTGGAGAGCCGGGCACCATGGTGTGCCAGGTCGTCTGGTCGGAAAGGCTCTCCCGTCTAGCACCAGGGCTTAGCCTTAATGAACACTGGCTCTCCCAGGACAGACATTTACCTTGTCAGTAGTTTATACCTCAGGTTCATGAGTTTATGGTCTTTGACATGGAGAAAGTATTGGTGACCATTCACTCACAGCAGTGTGGAGCTAGGCCTCCTGGTGCAGGGTGGTCGCTGAGCAACATCTGCCCTGCTTCAACACTGCATCCAGGTGGACCCTATTCTTTGCAAAAGACACCTCCCTTTCTGTGCTAGCCTCTGCAGCTTACACCCTCCCTCTCACCATGCCAGTCACCTCAGCCTTTGTTCATTGTTTTTTAAAAAAAAAAATGTTTTTATGTGGTTGCATATTTTGCCTGCATATATATGCCACACGCAAGCCTAGAGGCCAGAAGAGGGCTTCAGTTCTCCTGGAACTGGAGTTATAGATGGTGATGAACCACCCTGTGGGCACTGGGAATCGAACCTGGATCCTCTGGAACAGCAGCCAGTGCTCCTGACCACTGAGCCCTCTCTCCACACCCTTTGTTGTTTTTTGAGACAGGGTCTTATGTAGCCCAGGCTGGCCTTGAACTCTGTGTGGCTGAGGATGACCTTGACCTTCTAGTATTTCTGCCTCTACCTCCTGAGTGCTAGTTTTACAGGTATGCACAGCCATCTCTGGTTTTCACCTTAATCTTAACACTCAAAGGCTGACATCCTGAGATACCCTACACCAACTGGACAAACCAAGACAGTTGGTCCCTACCCCACCCCATCCCTGCATTCGGTCTGGTCTTGCAGCTCTCCCACTCCAAGTATTGTGAGCCCAGTGTGGAGGACAAGGCTGAGACAGGCCTGAGATGGGGTTCTGCTGCTCTGAGTGCCTTCCTTGTTTGAGGGGATCAACCACATTCCTGGCAACTACCCATTCCCAGCCTCCAACCTGCGGGTCCTCCCCTCTAGGGCCAAGCCTGTCTTTGAAGTCAAGTTCCCAACAACATGTTCCAAAGTAGAAGGATGGACATTGACCTGCAGGACTGAGGATTTGTCTGCAGGAACCATTTCCAGTTCTGACCACTGAGAGTCTTAACCCTGCAGTCTTAACCTGGGGTAGGACGTGAGTGTGAGGGAAAGTAGTGCCCTCTTTGAGGACCAGGGAAAGCTCCTGGGTGTCCACGTGCCAGGGACACGTGCATAGGCACAGCCTAGACCCCACTTCCCCAGCAACAA